CTGGAGCAAGTGTGTCAAAGTAGCTGCATAGTCTAAGATCACCATTTATGTCCAGGTTGTTTATTTTGTTGTCGATTAGCTTCACTTATGAATTTTAATTTTTTTTCAGTTCGAATTTTGATTTATTCTCTTCTGAAAAGGCATTAAAATTTTAAAAAAAGATTATTTATGCGAAGAGAAAGAAAAGGCAATAAAGGCGTCTTAAAAATTAAACAGTTTGAAAAAAAATAGCACGAGAGGGTAAACTTTAATATTATTATATTAAATAAAAATAGTTTTAAGATAAATTATAAAAATAGTTAATATATTTTTTAAGAAATATAATTTTGAAAATTGCATCGAAAAGTTGTTTAGCTAACATTGAGGGTTGAATAATTTAGTATCGGTAAAAAATAAAAGGCATCGCTGATACAATGAGTATCGGGCCAACTCATGGTGGTTTGTTTATGTCGATTAATGAAATATAAAAAAATGTGATTTTAATGGTAACGAACGAGTAACGTTTTGGCAATGAGTTACCTTTAAGGTAATGTGGCGACATTGCATAATAAATATAAAGCCGTTACTTTGAGTAACGTTTATAGTACTATTTAAAACTGATAAGATCTAAATATAATTTTAAATACTAATAATGTGAATTATTAAATATTTAAATTTTTAATGTGCTTATTGAATGGCATATATAAGTAATGAAAATAAATTTTTATTCCATTCGATTTCATATTATTATTTATCTTTCATCGTGGTTTGTGATTATAGTTGGGTAATAGCTAAATGTAGAATAATTCGTCTTACTACAGGCGCGTGTCGGGGAAAATCCATTAACATTTAAGGCGTTTTAATTTATATTAGTTTTTTCAAATTTACAATATTTCAAAGAAAAACCCCGAGACCAAAGTGATAGTTTTCGCCGGCTAATAATTAGCCTAAACGGCTAAAAATATAGTAATTACTTAACTATATTTGTGATTATTATAGGGTTATAACTCCATTTTGAGCAATCTTAAAAAAACCATGTCATCTCGTCAACAATAATAACTGAATTGTTGTCTTTAAATATAAAGGCAATTTGGTAATAAAAGTAGATAACCTTATAAAGACAAAATTTATTATAAATTTTAAATAAACACAAAATGTATAATTAGTGCTGTAAAGTAACGTCGTTACCTTTTTGAGGCAAAGAAATGTCATTCGTTACTTGTTTTAAAAGGTGTCGAATAACGCATTTATTTGGAGCAACGGTAACGAAAACGTTGCTTTCTATTTTTTCTTAAAAAAATATGGAAATTTTTTTTAATTAAATATTATATTTTTTTAAAATATTATTAAATAAATTTAAGTTTATAATTCAGATCAACCACCAAAGTTCTTCATTTTTATTATTTGCTACATTTTTGTTGATAGTCAGTTAATCTAAATAATATTAAATATCAAAGTATGTTAATTTATATTCTCTAATATTTTAAATTATATTATGTCAATATAACTTATTTCTTCAGATGGAGATGATTAAATCTGCTCTGGATTCAGTATTAAACATTTTTTAGATAAATAAAGAAAATTAAGGGCATCTAAGTTTATACTTTTTATGTATATATTGTGTCCTAATTCAAATATTTCAACCTCGATGTCCATCAGCTCAAATCTAAACATGAAAGCAAAATATGAATTAAAATCAAATTCTGATAAGGATAAAAAATGATGAGGAACTAAGTGAAGATGATCAGTTTTTTTTGAAAATAAATATTTTTAATAAATTCCCACAAATAAAATTTTTATTTATTAAATATAATATAGTCCTCCCATCCTCTGCCCTAAGTGGAACGTGTGTTTAGCCCAGCTAAAGCTGTAATGAGCATTCGCGCTATCTGATCAAAATTTAAAAATCAATTGTTGAAAATAAATAAATTATTATAAAAAAACTCTTAAAATATATTTTTTACATAATTCTATTTTTATTATGTGGCGTCAGTGTTGTTAAACGCTACTTTTAAAAGCAGCGCGCTATCGCTACCGCTATCGTTTTCAAATGAGTAGCGCGCTATTAGCTACTTTTTACGCTACTTTGATTTTTTTTTTAAATATTTTTTTTTAAGTAACTTTATTTCCACAAATAAAATATTGATATAAAAACATGACTATAATTTGTTACCTATATATATATAATTTATTTATTATTGCACTTGAGTATAAACGACCAATCCAAATCATAAAACTAATGATCTAATATATAATTCATTTCCATTTTTTTCTCATCTAGAAACAATGCTAAAAGTTTCATAGCATTGTAACCACTATTCCATCTTGTAGTGTTTGGTGTCAATAAATAACGTCCTAATTTTTTTTTGAAAATATCAGACGTCTTTGATGACTTATTTTGTTTATTCCAAAGAGCTTGACATTTAGAAAATGTAGATCTTGATACTCTTTTAAAATCCTCATTTAATAATCAGCATCCACTGTCGCAACTAAATTTAGGTTGTGGCAGGAACAACGATGATGGCTAGGTAACATAGAAGACTTTATTGAAGATCCTAAATATTATAAATTTTATTTTATATTGGTGAATAATTAAATATAAAATAATTTAAAACCAAGGATGTAATGAACATCAATTATCTCAAACTTCATTTCATCATCCTCTTCTTGTTCTCCATCTTCAATATTTTTGTCAGGAATATTAATAGTATTGTTATTATTATTATCCTCCCCAAATATTCTATATTATTTATATCATATTATAAAAAAATTATAATAAATTTAAAACCTGAAGGCCTTCAGGAAATTAGACCCATTATCCGTAATCATCTTACAAACCTTGTTTTGAATTTTGTAAGACCTATGGATTTCTGCAATAATATTGGCTAGAATGTCATAAGTCTGACAGCCAATTATTCTCTTTAGAGCTAAATCTACAGATTTTTGTTTAAGATTTTTAGGATCAATTCAATGTGCAGTTACTCCTAAATAAGCTCTAAAAATATGACATATTATAAATCAGAAAATAAACATTTACCTTCTATTGTGAGTCCAGCAATCTGCCGTTGTACAGACGTAGGAGACATCTGTTAGATTTAATATCAAAGATTCTTTCATTTCCTTAAAGCTCTCCAAAATTCTTGCCATCAATGTCTGCCGGCAAAATATCTTGGTCCGTGGAGAAAAAGTGTTTATCATCTTTATAAAAGAATCATTATCCACCAAGGATAATGGTTGAACTGTATCTATTATAAAGTTCATAATGACTTTGTCAGCCAATTTTTGGGATACACCAGGTGTTGATGAATCCAAATTGGTTAATTTTGTTTGTATTAAATTTGATTTGGAAGTGGGTTTATCTTCTTCCATTACCCCAAAACTTTTGAGATATTTTTCAATCTCTTTATAATTTGAAGTGTGCACAGTCTAAAATTATATTTTAAATAATTTAGATAAAATTTATGAATATATAAAAAATAATTGGTTTTTGATTTTAATTTATTTTAAAAATTAAAGATTAGCCTACACATTGATATTAAATTTGTTTAATATTTATTTTAAAAATTAAAGATTAGCCTACACATTGATATTAAATTTGTTTAATATATAACCTTTAAATGTTTTTCCAAATTAAAGCTGCTCGTATGATTTGAAGAGATAATTTTGCGGCACATCTTGCACCGAAACTGATATCCAGTATTAATTTTTTCTTCAAGGTTAAAGTATTTCTTGAATTTTGGGAAAGGATCATCTATATTTTGCTTATTTTCCAAAGAAATTTCAATATCTTCAACAATCTCACACATAACAAGATATATAATGCTTAATATAAAATGTAAAATGAAATATAAAATAAGATAAAAGCAAGGACTTACCAATAACGGAATTTCAAAAATATATAATTAAATGAATGCGCGAAATATAAATTAAATACAGATTGCTATTTAACAACTGTTTATATCTAATATATAACAATATTATATATTTTTAAATATAAATATAAATTTCAAAATTAAATTAAATAAAAGGTTTATAATTTTAGATTTTATAAAAAATATATTTTAATAATTTTTAGATATATTTATTATGTAAAATTGAAAGTAGCGAGCTACCGCTATCGCTATTTTTTTTTAAAAGTAGCGCGCTATAGCTACCGCTACTGAAAAAAGTAGCGCGCTATTTTAACAACACTGTGTGTCGTGTATCTAAATTTTTATTCTTATATTTTTATATTATCGTTTTTTTATTATTTCATTTATTTTTATAAAATAATCGACGTGGTGAAAAAATGCATATTTTACTTATTGTTTTTTGTGTTTGAAAATGTAAAAATAAAATATAAATTGATAATATAAAAATTAGAAGTGGTTGCAGGAGTTATTTAATCATAATTTAATTAACATAAATATTTTTATTAGTGTATTTACAATATTATCTATGGAAAAAGAATAAATAGAATATCCCTCATCCCTTGGCAAATGGGTCGGCTCCTCACATGGGACTATCCCTTTATTGATATATTCTCTACATCTAATAACAACCATTCCAAGACAGCGGAATCTAAAAAATACACCTTTTTATCAAACCATAATTATAACACTTATAGTATTTTGGGGGACGCATTCCTGAAATTTCTAAAAAAAAACTTGGTATGAAATTTTCCTACAACTGGATTAGCTGCGGAAAGCTTCTATATCCGGCAAAATGTCAATCAGGCGTAATCTCAATATATGTGTACATGCCCATTAGATTTTTTTAAAAATAATATATTATAATTTTTGATGTTAGGGAAATTTTTATAAAAATAAAGGGTATAAAATTTTAAGAAATTTATACATAATATTTTTTAAATGACACGTTTTTACAAGTTAACGAGTAACGCGTTCCTTTTTTTTAAATTTATTAAGTAGCACGTTTATTTTCCCACAAGGTAACGAGTAACGTGCGTTCCTTTTCTCAAACGTAATGAATTTCTTTTTTGAAGTAACGTTTACAGCACTAATAATAATAATAATATTAACTTCTTTCCCGTAAAAATGGGAATCTCCAAGAAATGATCCCCTTGATCCGGTGAACGAAAACATGGGCAAAGGAACCGGGATTGGTACGTTTATTCCGATCTTTATTAATTTGTTGGAAAAGAGTTAGATGACGTATAAAAAACTATTGACATAATGCTTAATTAGAAGGGATGATCTACCTCTAAAATTAAATTAAGCATATTCTGAAAAAAATATATCATGAAATATTATTCAAAAAAGACTTTATGATAATAATATCATGTTATTTTATTCTCATAAATAAGAGACTTAGTTATCAATAGTAGAGATCATCATATTATAAAGGGTATATGGGATATGTAAAGAATCTTAACTTATTTGCGATTAGAGTGTGAACAATGACATTAATACTAAATTTTTTACCTAGACTGACGATTTATTCATAAAGTGCATTGAAAAAGTGTACATGCTTGAAGTTGGCAACTGAAAGACATTTAGATGAAACGTGAAAGACATTTGGATGGCGTCTAATATTAATTGACTGGAGCTTAATGTATGTACACTTTTATTAAGTGAATCGTAACTCTGAGGTAGTATTAATGTCATTGATTACGAATATCATTTTATATATGTGAAAGAAGTTTGAAAAAATATGTTAAAAGGTATAATGCTATATAAATAAAATCTAATAATAGAAGTATCTAAGTAAACAAAGATTTATAAAATTAAATCAATAGTATTTTACTATTTAATTTTATTATTTTCTGAATGAGTTTTAAATCATACTTGCCCAACATCAATATTTTCGGTAAATTTTTTAGCCGAGGTTCCGCTTCTCGTAAAGATGGCCGTCCCGTTACCGTAAGGATTGCGATTTATAAAATCTATAGCGCCATCTAAGTCATCGACTATATTTATGAGCATAACCGGACCAAATATTTCTTCTTCGTAGCAGTTCATGCCGGGCTTTTAATAAATATTTTTTTCTAATTGATTACTATGTGGTTACAAGATAATAATTCAGTATCGTGGCATAATAGTTAGTTAGCAATTTTCATATAAACTTGTGGTAAAAAAAAATAACGTTTTATACAAATAAAAGCATTTTGAGCGTGTTTAAATTTGCACCTGCTTGTCTCGTTCCGAAGTTAACTTTGGTTTTTATAATGAGATGATTTCAAAAATAATCCTAAATTTCAGACTATTGACTTTTAAATTCATACATATCAAATTGTTCACACTAATCTATAATTAATCACCTTCCTAAACACAAAATTATGAGTTAATTCATAAACAAATATAATTATAGATAGAAAATAAAAACGATACCTTAACACCACTCAAGATGGTAGGTCCTAAGAAATTGCCTTCTTTGTTAGCAAAATTATCCATGACTATACCCCTTCCATCTAATTCACATGTTGCTCCTTGTTTAATGCCCTGATCAATCAAATTAGATATCCTTTTCTTGGCTTGAGGAGATATGACTGGACCTATATCCGTGTTTTTATCCTTGCCTTATTTTACATTTAAAAACGATGGAATATTGATAATTATTGGTAAAATTCAAAAGAACTATTATAAGTTGTGTTATGAGTTATGAAAGTTTTTTTCCAATTGAATATATATTCCTTGCCTACAATTCAACTACGAAAATTTAAGCAAAATATATAAATGTTATATAGAATCTATAAATGTTATTAAATCCAATGTTACCTGGACCAACTATCAATTTTTGAGTCGTTGAAACAATGTCTTTGATCCACGTTTGAGCTTCCCCTACCAAAACTATAGTCGATAGAGCCATACATCTTTGACCAGCGGCCCCAAAAGAAGCTCCTACTATCTAATTATACGCGTCGTTATTTATTTTTTTAAACTATAAAATTTGATGTAGAACCTTATCACAAAGGTTCGCTAATTTAAAAAGAATAAATAAATATATTCAATAAAATAAAATTATATTTAACTAAAGATTGCATGATTTCACAATTTCCGCTATGCCCTGAAAACCGGATTTTTTGTAAATTCTTAAACAAAGCTGGTTAATAGCTAATTTTTATGTTTTAAAAAAAAAGAAGAATAAATTTAACCGATTTGATAGTAGCATCTTTGTTGGCATCCGGCATAATGACTCCGTGATTTTTGGCGCCCATATTGGCTTGAACTCTTTTCCCATGTTTAGATCCGGTTTCGTGAACATATTTACCCTTAAAGGGGGAGGATCAATTTAGTTATAATGTACACCTAGAGAGGAGAGGAATGGAAAAATAATAATTACCACTTTATCGGATCCGACAAATGAAAGCGCCTTGATGACTGGGTGTTCACAAAGATATGTGACAGCTAATGTAATATAATAAAAAGTTAAATTTATTCGAATCCTCGGCAATGAAATCAATTTCCGTGGCTTTGATAAATATCAGTAAAAATAATGATAATACCAGATTTATATAATATATATTAAATTTAGTGTATATGTATATTATTACAGTGCATAACCCCAACTAACTAGGAGGGCTGCCAGTCGATCCGAAACTAAGCTCATCTAGAGATAAACTTTAAGAAATCGGGTCAGAGAAATTTTTAAAAAATCTGGCTAGGCCAAAATATGGATTAATTTTGGTTGTAGCCGTGCTAGGAAAAATTAATAGCATGTCAAAATGATAAGATTATGAGATAGATATGTTGGTGAGATAGATATGTTGGTGAGATAGAAGGAATTATATAATTAAAAAACCTTTATGGCTTCCATGAATAACGTTAACCACGCCATCAGGAATTCCTGCTTTCAGTCCCAAATCCATCAAATACATCGATGCTCCGGGATTCCTCTCCGAAGGTTTAAGTATAAATGTATTGCCACAAGTTATGGCTAGAGGAAACATCTTATATTTTTTTTAAGTTAAAATAATATAAGATTCGTATTTGAAAACAATAACGCCTTAGTTTTGCCCGAGCCTAGGGTAGGGCTCGCATTAAAGACTTTTTCTCTAGCTAGAGTCGGACTGTAAGAGGTAGTGGGATGAAACCCGAAAAATAAATATTAGAAATATCCTTAATAAATGTTTTGTTTCATAGAGATGTTAATCAGAATAACATGTCATTTTTAATCTAACTCATTTCACTCATTCATTTAAGTAATTTCTATTTCCCAAATTACAATTTCCAATGAATGTGATTTGTATTGTAACTAATCAAATCCCCATTACTTATATGCATCATATTCCATCAGGTTAAATAAAATGTTATACTCGTTTTTGCAACTTTATTTGGTAATTGTTAATAATATATTTATAGGGGTTTATACTTTTAAAGTGGCAATATGTGAATTAATACACATAATTTTTAATTTTTCCTTAGATATTATAATATTTAAACTCAATTCCAAAAATTGTTTAATCGGGCTCAAGACTGGCTGATACAAAAATTTGTGCTCGGGTCGGACGCAAAATGTTTTAAAATTCGGGCTCGGGCCGCTAAAAAAAGATGAGAAAAACATATTTTTAAACATACCAAAGTCAAAAAAATTGGCCCGTCAGTCTAACACTAAACGAGAGAATCTAACGACGCCATTAAACTGAATCACTAAACGAGAGAATCTAACGACGCCATTAAACTGAATTCTATTCTTTTTATACAAAAAAAGTGTCTAAATCATACCCATAAAGGAATCATGGCCGGAAAATTGAAGGGCGCTATGCCAGCGCATACTCCGAGTGGAACTTTTTGAGATATGATATCCATATCTTTCGACACACCGGGTAGATTTTCTCCCATAACTAATGATGGTGCATTACAACAATATTCCACAACCTCTAGGAGTGTTTAATAATTCATATCAATAAAAAAAATTGTATGTTTTTTTATTGTTTAAAAATTTAATAATTATTTAGATATTTTTTTTATAACCATATTCATTTTCCTCAGGTTCCGATTTCAGAACCGCGTCATTTTTTGAACTGTCAAATTTTCAATTTTATGTCATACCCTGATTATTGGAGTGTTTTTTTTACGTTTTTATTAAAAATGATAAAATCGATTTTGAAGTTTCAAAAATATATGAATTTAAATAGATACAAAATTAAAATTGCTCTAGAGTAGGACACTCCAATAATCAATCAACCATATATATAAATTTATTTATTATTCTTGTTGAATAAATCCCTTATACGATGATAAAAAAAATATTGATTTAACCTTTTTAACGAGAAAAACATGAGCAAAAATAGGTAAATATTTTAATTCCAAATTTATATTGTATCAATATTTAATTATGTCGTTTTTGTTGTATATTCATTTGATTTAATTTTAAATAATTTTCTTTAAATCATGTTTCGGCAATATTACCAGTCACTCAAATATAAGTGAATTGGCTCGGGCTCGGAAGTAGATAGTGTAGTGTAATTATAAAATACAAAATGATAGTTAATGCGAAATAATAATTTAATAACAAAAAATAATAATTGAATTTCCTTATTCGATAAAAAGTAATCCATGTCTAATACAATTTTAATTAACGCGACAAAATAATTAAGTAAAATAATATTAATAACGTTAGTAAAAAATTTACTTTAAAAATGAACCTAATATAATATATAAAAATAAGTAAATTTAGTATAGTTAAAAATATATGTTGTTCAGTTTTCTCTAAATTATTTTTCTATGTATTCATCTTCCATTAAGTTAATCCCACACTAGTTGGGGTCTTTAAAACGCGTCCTATCCTTCCATATGGCTCGCCTTTAGGCAACAATTTTCTTATCCAACATGTCCTTACGGATTTTAGAAATCTAAGTTAATCATGGCCTTCCTCTAGTTCGTTGGCTGATAACTTCAAGATCGAGAACTTGCTGATTCACGATAGTTCAGTCAGTCCACAGTATATGTCAATACTATCTCAATCTGCTCTCCTTTATCATTTCCGACAACGAAGAGCTATACCCATCTTCTTTCTTAATTTAGCATTGGGTCATATGATCCAGCTTGGTGTAATCTAGGTCATCGTATCATTCGCATTTCGATTACATCCAACATCTTCTCAGCTGCTCGTCACATCCATAGATTGGTCTGCCGATGGTTCGATAATCATTAAGCCACAATGGCATCTTCCTGTCACAAAACACCCCTGATAAGCTTCTCCATTTTATCAATCTTTTTGTATCCTAGCGTTCTCATGACAACCTCTATCTTGATGTATTGTAGACCCAAGATAGCTAAACTTTTCAACTTTATATAGCAATTTGCTTAGTTTCTTGACACCGATCTGCAACGTTTGTTTCCAATATACTGCCTTAGAATAGCTGACGTGGAACCATATTTCTCCAGCCTAACTGCCCAAACACTGGCCCTCTGTACTGACATCACTTCGGTTTCCTCGCATATCACGATGTCATGTGCATACAACATTGACCATGATGCTGGCCTCTGCAAGTCCTCAGTTGTAGTTGTTGGAAGTGAAGGAGAAAGAAATATATTGAATATGTAATTTTGATAAACTTATTTGAATAAACGATTATTATAAAATTATATGCGGTGAGAAATAACATAGTTGAGTATGCAAAATGTTATATAAAAGTCGGGAAAAAATTTATAATTTAATTATTAGTTATATTATAATAATAAATAATTATTTATTTTAATTATATAACTAGCTGATAGCCCGTCAAGAATGACGGAGAATCAGAATTTTCTCCTTTATTTGATGATTGATGAATCAGAAATTTTCCTGTGTTATTCAGAAATTTTTATTGATAAAGGGTTATTCTAAAATTTTCCATACTTTTTATAAAATATGACATTGTATAGCAAGAATAAATATTTTAGATTATAAATTACAAATACAAATGAATAAAAATTTAGCTTAAAAGATTTTTGATAGTGCACATAAATTAAAATTATTAAATATATACTTCAATAACATATTTTATAAAAATAATGGAAAATTTTAGAATAACCCCTTATCTAAATAAATATAAATTTCTGTCTGAATAACACCTCTTAAGATAGGAAAATTTCTGGTTCATATATCATCTAAAGGCGAAATTCATTAGTCACCTATCATTGAGAAAATTCTGATTTCCCGTTATTCTTGACGGGCTATTAGCTAATAACTTATATTTTTGATAACGGGTTCTTAAAAAATCCCTAAAATATATAAATAAATTTAAGGCAAGGTCACAAGAGGCATTATTTTTTTTGTTATTTATGCTAAAATAAGAATGGATTAATATTTCATTCATATATACACTTCACAATGACTTTCTTTATTTCCTTGTGTCCAAAAATTTCTTGAATCCAGCAATTATCATAAATTTTTTTGCAAATGATTTAAATAAGGCATATCTGTGGTTTGTCCATTCCTTTAAGCAAATAAAGTCAATGGGAAATGAAATAATTCAGTTATCGAAATTAGAGACCTTCATAGACCTTGATTTATTCATCAGCCTCCAGCCCAGGTCAGCAGTAAAAATAATTTGCAGGCCCAATCCATATTTAATAAAAAATTCAAACCGAAGCCAATCATAAATTTAAAAATTTTGCCCGCCCATATCCAAAAATTTAATTTATTGTTTTAAATGAAAATAAACAATATTTAAGTGTATTTAGGCAATCACTTTGTTTGCAATACTGAAATTTTTATCATTAGAAGAAAAAATAATGCAATATATGTTTTAAGTTAGTCACAGCTTAATAGGCTAAATCTAAATAAAAAATTTTTAGGCTTTCTATCAAAAACCCAGTCCTGACCCAGGCACGCTAGAAAATATAGTATACCTGGCACCCCATAGGCCGCAAGCCTCCCCATGAAGGTCTTTGATTGAAATGTTAAACCATTTTAAATCATTAAAATATTTTGTAACCTGAGTTAGAGGTTCTATCTCCATTTTTGTCAAAAATGTTTTTTTTGATAGATTGATTATTTAAGAATATATTAATCTATTTACATAAAAAAATCTTAGAATTTTAACTTATAAAATAAATTATAGCTAATATTAGATTATTCTATCTCCCTATTTCTTCTTATTGTTAAAATTATATTATTCCATTTACAAAAAATAATCAATCCACCCAGCATGATTCTTTAAAACGTTTTCAGGTATTATGTAAATGGAATTAAGAGTCATTTTAACTGATTGTATGGTTTTATATAAAGATCCTGATATTACTGGTTCAAAAAACAAAAAAATAAAAGGAACATTTTTTATTACCATAATTTTTATTCATTCTAATTATTAAATTTTTTAAATAAAATTTTAGTCTGTTGTTTACAAACTATTATTATTCAATAAAATTTTTGGATTTAAAGAGAAGTTGTTTGGAGAAAAGGATAATATTTCTTAAAATAATAAAAATAAAATTTGGTATTAGAATAATAATAAAAATGATTTTTTTAAAAATATATCATGGTATTTTATATAATTAAGGGATGAGGAGCTATTAAATATACATATCCTTAAAAAAAAATTAGGAAAGCATTTCCAATATTCAATATACAGAAAAAAGTGGAGATAGAATAATATAAATCGGCGACGATTTGTTAACAGAAAGAAAAAAAATAAAAATCCATTAAAAGTAGAAGCAATATTTGAAACAAATGTTAAAAATGGACAAAAAATTTAAATAGATGCAATGTAAGATAATTTATTAAATGTAGACATAGCCATATTATATTTTGCTCTTTAGTCAGAACCACTAGAAGAATTAAATGTTTCCAATGGATAGAAATTAAAAATGTTCCCAAGTAGTCAAAAATAAAATCAGATAGTTGAATATGCAAAATCTGCTCTTCACTAAAAATGGGTCTGATTTCTCTTATATTCCAATCCTTAAAAATGTAATTAACTGCTATTATAGCAAGCTTTATTTTTTTTCTATATCAGCTCATAATGCCAGTGTTGAAAGAATCTTCTCATTATTCGATAGCCAAATGAGAGGAATAGATTATCCGTCCCATTGCAATTGACTATTTAGAAGATTATTAGCAAAAATAATTGCCATGGGTCAAAATCTATGGTATTAACTTATTAGGTATACATATTAGGATTCAGTGTTAAGGGAGAAGTCAAAATAGAATGCCATTCGTATTATATTCAGAATCTCTTCCTAGCATGGATATTATCAAAGTATACTTTAAAAATGCTATTAATAACACATTTCGAGAACATTTTATCAATTGTTTTACTCCCTAAATTCCTAGAGACATGATGTGACATTAAAACTCTAATTCAGCCCACATGCTGATGAAAGGATCCAGCAGGGAGGCACATGTCCTCTCTTATTTTATCTTGGTATTCGTGATCTCATCAAAAATAAAATAATTGAAGTTTTAATTTCTTTGAAGCTAAATTTAAAAGACTAAATTCTTTATAAATCCAAACTGCTTCCAATGATAACAATTAGTGCAAAATAACAGACTTATTCTATTTCATAGAAGTAATAACTCATAAAGTATGTTTTTAATTTAATAACTCCAAGCGTGTAACTAAACTGAGAATGAAAACAAATATTTATTTATATAATTTTTTTTAAATATATAATCATATAAAATGCAAGTGGTTAATCTAAATTTCTTGATTAGATAGATTTCTTTTTATTGATAATTTATCTAAATAAAATTTGTTAGATTTTATAGTTATGAAAATGAATATTTAGCCTTCAGCCCAATATCTTAACGCCTTCTGTGGGTTGAGTATATAGAAGTTGATTTTCGTAGTATGAATTTATTATATGACTAAAAGAATAATTATAAAAAATTTAATTTTATGAAGATGGTAAAATGAGTTATAAATAAGTGGATGAATGTTTGAGTTTTATA